GGCTGCGCGTCTCACCATCTCCTGTTCGAACAATTGCCAACGAGCATTGGAGATGTTCCAGGACGGCACAGGAGCTAGGCTCTCAACTGTGCTTGGGGTAGTTGGTGTTGCCACAACTGTGATCATGTTATGATCACACAAGTCCCACTCGTCCACTCTCCACTCGAATGTGGCCCACATCGATGCTGCATCGTTGGCAATTGTAACGTCGATATCACTATGCGCGTGATAGGTATCGAACGTGAACACCGAGCTAGGCTGGTTGAGAGCAACGGTCTCATTCTCCAGCATCCACTCAGACAGCAGCTCACCCCGTCTGAGGTTAGCGTTTCCCCTGGGGTTCCGAGGGAGTTTGCTAAACCACATGGGGGACACTGCGTTCGCGTCGAGTACCCCCCAGGATTGCGGGGGTATTGTTGGCCTGCAACAGGACCACATCCATGTACCTGAGGTACGGTTCTAGCTCGGCTTCGTACTGGCAGTACACGGAGCAAAGGAAGATTGAGCCAAAACTCCCTTTTACGCTCACGCATACGCCATAATCGGTGGTGAGGGGCTCCATCGGCATACAGATGACATCCTGGTGATCCACGAGGATGGCTGCTTTTCCTCTCCGGTCGGTGTACATCCTCATTCCATCGGGCAGCACATCCTTCGTCCCGCTGCCAATGTATGGCTCCTGCAGCAGTGCAAACATGCAACCGGACTCTCTCAGCCGGACCGCGAGCTCAATAGTCTGCTACTGCAGGTTTTTTTTTATATTTAAGTAAGAGCCTATTTTTAGTATTTTTTAGGTTAGTGAGGCACCTTGTAAAATAAGGCGGATGGATGGGCGGATGGATATTTCAATGGCACACATGAGTCAAAATATGTATTTAAAATATGGTAAAATTCTAAGGTTAATTTCTAAGGTGACATTCGCATCAGTGCATGCCAGAATATAGGACCAATCAAATATATTGATAGGTCTATTAAGTTTACGAAAATCAGCTTTAGGGAAACAGCGAGTCTTATTTACCAACCATGGAAACTTCTGATCGATACCAGAAATGGTTTCGATTGAAACCTAAAGCGTGGGGTGATATGGATCCTCTGGGGTTGAGAGGGGCAAAGCTTTGGAGAGAGTGGTACCATCAGGATCAGATACAAAACATAAGTATAGAAGCCGACCTAACGAATTTCTAACATGGTTGATTTGACCTACGGATATGTCAAACATGCCCAAATTGAAACGCGTCGCATTTCCTGCATCAATTAGCGCTGGCTTTTTCACAGATTTTCCATAATTTTACATGGACTTGGCCAGCTCGTCGGGCTGAGAGGCTGAGTGGCTGACTGCCTAGCCATGTAGAGGTTTCCCGTTTAAGCGGTCATTAATTGGCGCTCGTCAGCGGGCTAAGTAAGCTCAATGCATCAATCAAGCTTTTAGCGTCAAATCGTGTATAAATATTGCCTTTTGCGATTCGAAAATCTGATAAGTCCGGGCACGGCTCGCTTTTGCGTTTGCGTGTGTTCTCAAACGATTTTAATTATAGATATTGACAAAGTGGCGATAGGAAATTGAGACGTAAGACGGCTGCACCCAGGGATTGTTATGTGGTTCGATGAAACCAACTCCAGAGCCCAAAGACTGAACACTGAGGACTTCAAAATTGAAAAGTATCTTTGGCCGGGGCGGCCAATTATGCGAATGCTGTTAATGACTGTGGGCGACGACTTGCCTCTGCTTTATCTATATGGAATGGAATGGAATTGCGAATGCGACTGGCACTGGGACTGGGAGTCGGAACTCCCAGAAAAACGGAGCTCAGCTGCCTAGAGAAAGTTGTCTTTGCAAATGACGTTTTTTTGTCAACATCAATCAGGCAACGGCGAAGGGGCAAAAATGGCAATAAAAGGCAGCGCGCCTGCCTGCACGTCCGATTGCTGACAATGCGTTGATATTTTCCGACAAGCAAATCAGAAGCTACAAAGAGGCCTTGCCACAGAAACCTCGTGAGACGCCTCACTTTTAGGCTGCTGCTCTCTTTCTGGCTACCAGCTTCAAAAGAGTACTTCTTGAACAGCTAAAAAATAAGGTTAAAAAGTAGAGTCGTATGATTTCAGAATTCCATTCAAATGTTCGATTACGCAAGAATGCTGTTCCCGGGCTTCTGTGACAGCTTCGGAGCACTGATCCCAGACACATCTCAAGCCCTGCCCTCCAAAAAACCGCTTTCGAGATTTTGGACCGATCGCGGTTGTCGGGCTACCAAAATAACAGAGCCAAGTCCAAAAAGAGTGCGGGTATTATTTAAGAAATCTCGTGTTGTCCGACTGCGACCTTCAATGGTCATTTCTGATGGAAAACAAAGCGGGCTGGAGCGAAATATTAAAGTCACCAAGTACTACAAGCAGGTCAATATCGGACATAAAATTAGAAACAAACTGAATTGCAGACAAGTGCGCGTACGTGGTCGTACGTACCACCACGGTGGAATGTAAGAACAAGTAATAAAAAACGGTTCAGCGGACAATATCTCCAAATAAATTTTTGGAAAACGTTCTGATGCCAAACTTTCCCAATGCCTAATCCTTACCTACAAATTAAAATTTTGATCAATCGGAAAGTTTTTAGAGGAGTTATAGACTTATTATTGGGTTTGCCAACTGAATGACAATGGCAATGGGTAGTATGGGCGTAGGGGTTAGAAGAAGGAATTTGTTTGGTTTTTTTTCCAAAGCGTAAAAAATGCACCACGCCTTTTTTTTTGAGAATCCATATGTTTAAAGTTTAAACTATATTTAAAGTTTGGGTTGGTTAGGTAAGTGTGGGTGGAAGAGATGATTACTGGGTATAATATAGTCGGGAAACTCGACTACATCAGTAGTTACAGCCGAATTATTGTTTAATACATGTTTTTGAATAGTTAGTTTTTTTAAATTTATAAAATAAAAAATATTTTTGATATTTTAAATAGCAGTAGCGGTAAATACCACTCTATATTTTGCAATATGGCAAAAAGTTTTCTGTTGTATGACATTTCTTCAATTCAGTAGTGTTTTGTGTAATTTTGTGATTCTGAAACAGTTAAATCCGTCAATCAACTTAAATAATTCATGTCCAATCCTTCATCTTCAAGGCTTAAAAACCCCTTTCTGCTGGTTGACGACATATAAAACACGCCCACCATTTAGGGTGTGTCAAATAATGGGATCTATTAAAACCTGAAATCCTGAAATATTGAAGTCAGGTATAATCAAATTCTGGCGTATTAAAGACACAAAGAGTATTTTGATGAAAAGAAATTTGATGTCGCAAAGTTCATGTAGTTTTACCTCTTTACAAGCGAAATCGGAGTCTACAAAGATAATAACTTCTTCTCCTTTACGAAGAGGTCTATCGCGTCTAAATGTTGTAAAAAACTTCGAAAAGCTAAAAATCTTCAATTTGGAACCATTAATCATTTACTATCTATGGAAAAACGTCGAACTAAAGCTCTTCAACATTAAGTAAAAACAAGAAAGCAAAGCTAACTTCGGGCGGAGCCGAAGTTGATATACCCTTGCAGCTAAAACCGGATATATATCGCAAACATCGGATATAGTTGGCCGATCCTTATGATTACATCATAATAAAACCAATTAATTACAATAAAAAATCTAAAAAAAAGTCCCAAGCTTCTATCTTCAAAAATACGAAATTTAATATTTCTACCAAATACCATTTCCGATCGTTCAGTTATATGTCAGCTATAAGATATAGTCAACCGATCCTAATGAAATTTTGTAGGTCGGATTAACTGACCAAAAATAGAGTGTGTACCAAGTGCCAGCTTTCTATCATCAAAAACACGAAAGTTGGGTCATTTCCGATCGTTCAGTTATATGGCAGCTATAGGATATAGTCGGCCGATCCTAATGAAATTTGGCATGTCATATTATTTTGCTATGCTATAATAATAGGGTAGGGTATAATAATGTGCGACGCTACAAAATAACTCTCAAAAGAAAGTTTATTGAATTAACTACATTTGTTTTTTTTTTTGTACATTCATTTTTATACCCTTGCAGAGGGTATTATAATTTTTTCCAAAAGTGTGCAACGCAGTGAAGGAGACATCTCCGACCCTATAAAGTATATATATTCTTGATCAGGATCACCTCCTGAGTTGATATGAGCATGTCCGTCTGTCCGTCTGTCTGTCTGTTTCTACGCGAACTAGTCTCTCAGTTTTAAAGCTATCGACTTGAAACTTTGCACACACTCTTCTTTCCTTTGCACGCAGTATATAAGTCGGAACGGCCGGGATCGGCCAACTATATCCTATAGCTGCCATATAACTGATTGATCGGAAATGGTATAACTTTGGTTTTTTTAGAGTTAGAGAGTTCAAATTTGACATGAGAGCTATTTTTGACAAAATATTACGACATGCCAAATTTCATAAGGATCATCCGACTATATCCTATAGCTGCCATATAACTGAACGATCGGAAATGACCCAACTTTCGTGTTTTTGATGATAGAAAGCTGGCACTTGGTACACATTCTATTTTTGGTCAGTTACTCCGATCTACCAAATTTCATAAAGATCGGTTGATTATATCTTATAGCTGACGTATAACTGTACGATCGGGAATGGTTTTTGGTAGAAATATCAACTTTCGTATTTTTGAAGATAGAAGCTTGGAACTTTTTTTTAGATTTTTTATTGTAATTAATTGGTTTTATTATGATGTAATCATAAGGATCGGCCAACTATATCCGATGTTTGCGATATATATCCGGTTTTAGCTGCAAGGGTATATCAACTTCGGCTCCGCCCGAAGTTAGCTTTGCTTTCTTGTTTTAAATATTTTTTAATACTTTAAATCGACGAGTAGGCGACGCCATCTAAAACCAGCAATACAACAGCTGATTGAAAAAAAAAAAATGAATTTGCAACCAAAAATCATTTTTAAAAATTTCTAACAGAGTAAAAAAAAATATTTATTGTGAAAAAAAACGCATAACTTACATGTCGATTCCCATCCACGAGGTATCCACCGACGTGATAATGTTTCTGTTGTATGTTAGGTGATAAGAGTTGCCTATTTAGAAAAAGGAAGATCGATAGAATATTAACGAATTAAAAAAGGAAATTAATTATATTTATTACTTATTATTGAATTTAACTTAAAATTTATTTATTTATTTATTTTTTTTTTTTTTTGCGAACTTTTAGAATTTTGGAAATTGATTTTGATTGGTGCACGAGCTAGCAAAATACTTGATTTCAAATTTGATGGATTTGAAAGAGAAATGATGGGGTAGAGACCATTTTAGTTCATACATAAGACCCCAATAGGGTCGTGTTGTGCGTATGTCAAACTACAATGGCTAAGGAATAGAGGACTAAAGTTTCTAGTCCTTCTACATATTGGGAATATTTAAATTAAAGCGTGTTAGAAAATGCTGGCTATATACATCACCATTGATGAGGTTATGTAGAACAAGAAAGGAAAGGTAACTTCGGGCGGAGCCGAAGTTGATATACCCTTGCAGTTAAAACCGGATATATATCGCAAACATCGGATATAGTTGGCCGCTCCTTATGAGAATATCATCATATAACCAATTTATAAAAAATAAAGCTCAAACAAAGTATCAAGCTTCTATCTTCAAAAAATACAAAAGTTGGTATTTTTACCAAAAACCATTTCAGATCGTCTAGTTATATGGAAGCTATAGGATATAGTCGGCCGATCCGGGCCGTTCCAACTTATATACTGCGTGCAAAGGAAATAAGGGTGTGTGCAAAGTTTCAAGTCGCTAGCTTTAAAACTAAAAGACTAGTTCGCGTAAAAACGGACAGACAGACGGACATACTCATATCAAGAATATATATACTTTATAGGGTCGGAGATGTCTCCTTCACTGCGTTGCACACTTTTGGACAAAATTTTAATACCCTCTGCTGGGTATAAAAATAAAAACCCAAGCTGCTATCTTCAAGAACACCAAAGTTGGTATTTTTACCAAATACCATTTCCGATCGTTCAGTTATATTCCAGCTATAAGAAACAGTCAGATGATCGTTATGGTATTTGGTAATGGTAATTTTGGTATGTCGGATAAACTGACCAAAAATAGAATCTGTACGAAGTTGGAACTTTCTATCTTTAAAAACACGAAAATTGGGTAATTTCCGATTGGGAGATTATGGTTAGGATATCCATGGGGAGGTCCAGAGGGTGCGTCCTTTTTAGTCTTCTGGGCTGCTCGCTTTTGTCCAGCAGCGAGATGGCCAACAGGTTCGGGTGATTATGAAGCCTCTGCATGTAGCGTGCGCTGCTTCTTTGGTTCTCGTCCTTGACCCAAGGAAAATTGAGAACCTCGTGGATGGTGCGATTGTCATGATAGACGTGGGCACCAGTGGCGATTCGAAGGGCTCTGTTTTCGAACGTTTGTATAGTTCGGACATTCGTCTTGCTCTCAGTGCCCCAGAGCTGTATGCCGTATGTCCAGATTGGGCGTATTATGGCCTTGTAAATGAGAAGTTTCGTGGACGTTCTCAGCTTCGATCTCCTACCCTCGAGCCAGTAGAAGGATCGAAGTCTTTGATCAGCCTGTTTCCTCTTCTCAATCGGATGGGGCCTCCTGGTGAGCCTCCTGTCTAGGGTGAATCCCAGGTACTTGGGATTGTCTTCCTGTGGGATTGGGGAGCCGTTGAGGTTAATTGGAGGGCAGTTTCCTTTGCAGAGAGAAAATGTGGGGGCAGTGGACTTCTCATTATTGATGGCAATGTTCCATCGCTTTTGCCAGTCGCTGAGCAAGTCAAGCTGCAATTGCGTGGTTTCGGTTGCCCCCATGGCGCTATCGGCGGTGGTAAGGATGGCGGTGGAAGTATGGTCGGGGTCTTTAAGTCTTTAATTTATTAATTATTTAGGCCATTAATTTACAAATTTATTATTTTTTATTATTTAATAATAAATTATTAAATTTAATATATTATTTTATTAAATTATTTTTTATTTTTAATTAATTTATTAAGGCCAATTTATATAGTAGACCGGGATGCCAGACTCGGTCGAACGCCTGTTTCGCGTCCAGCATGACAGCCATGCAGTACTTCTTGGTTTCAAATGCGTCAAGGATGCACTGCACAACGCGATGGCACTGCTCTGGGGTACCGTGTCACCGCCTGAAGCCAAACTGGTGGTCAGGGATCAGTCCTGCCTCGTTCAATACTGGCAGTGCTCCGCTCAAAAACACTCGTCCAATTATTTTGGAGAGCATTGGTAACAAACTTATTGGTCGGTAGGACGAAAGGTTTGCTTCGGGTTTCCCGGGCTTAGGTAGCATAGTTACCTGGACACGTTTCAATGTGGACGGAAAGTACCCTAAAGTAAAGTTTATATCTTTAAAAATACGAAAGTTGGGTAATTTCCTACTGTTCAGTTATATGACAGCTATAGGATATAGTCGGCCGATCCCTATAAAATTTGGTGTGTCGTATTATTTTTTTTTTTAGAAAAAAGAAACCCGAGTCAATTCCCGAGCGAGAAAATTTGGGTGCGAAGGCAGTTTTTCTTTGTATGACTCTTTTTGGTTTTGGATTTCGTCTTTTACAGCGAGGATGCCCAGATCCTGGTGGATATTTTCGTTTCGAACATACCAAGGTGCCCCAGTTCTATTTCTCAAGATTTTTTATTGTGCGCGCTGTATGATGTTTATATTGCTGCTGATCGCGTTCCACAGCTGAGAGCCATACGTCCAGATTGGCTTTAGGACTGAATTGTACAGTAGTGTAGTCAAGTCACAGTGGCGATCGTGGGTTTATGATCCAGTGTTTTCAGTTTTAGGTGCATCTTTTTGCATTCGATGTGCCTTCGCCAGGTAAGTAGTTTATCAAGGTGAACGCCAAGGTACGTTACGTCGTTAGCTTGAGGGATCTGCGTACCGTTTAGTAAAAGCGGAGGGCATGTTTGTCAATTAAGAGTAAATTTTATATGTATACCCTTTTTTTCTTTTTTTTTTTTACGGCGCCAGTGGGACAGCCACCTTTCCACTACTATTCGATGATTAGCCATTTGGGTTGTTGCCTGCCGGGATAATATTTCAGACAAACAATATAGAAAAACAAGATAGAAGGCTTATTGGTCTGTATGATGACGGAATTGTGTGGTCTTTTCCAGGCTTCGGTATCATTATAATGATATATTTCTTCCACTTTTTTGGGAAATTGCCAAGATTAATGATTCCATTAAATAGTTTGCAGACGACCTCAATAGCGCATTTTGGAAGTTCGATCAGCATCTTTGGGGTCAATAGGTCACCACCGGGAGCCTTTTTTGGTTTTAGCCCTCTTATGACTTTGTCGATTTCGTTCGGCCGGAATGAAGGTGCGGCTGGCTGAGGGGAGGACTCTGGCTGAATTACTGGCAGGAGGAATGAATTTGAGGCTGGGTTTGGCTGGAAGACACTTTGGAGATGTGTGGCGAATGTTTCAGCTCGGTCTTCGTCACTGCTAGCCCAGCATCCCGAAGAGTTTCTTATCGGGGAGGTCGTTTCAATTGGGGCGCTAAGATTTGGGTGGGCCCTCCACAGGGGGTACTTTGTGCTTGTTGGCGAGAGATTCTGGATGTACCTCCGCTGTGCATTTTCTTCCTCTTGGTGAAGAGCCTAGTCGAGTGATCGGGTTGCTTCTTTAAAGCGTTGTTTACCGTGCATATCGCGAAATGTTATAGGAATTATATTGACCGCTGCCGGATACAATTTACTCAGGATCAAGCAGTTTTATAATTTTGTAAACACTAAGCGTAAACACGTATCTTTTTCACGTATCCCTGCTCACGGTTGAAAATTCCTCTGCGACCTCTGATCAGGCTATTGCCGATCTATTCGCAGAATTTTTTCAAACTACCTATTCTCCGCCTAATTTGACAGATCAGCCTTACGCATATAACATTCAAGCAGCTAATCTTATTTTCTGTCCTCTTTTTTCTGAGAACAACTTATTATCTGGTCTTTTAAGGGTAAAACCCATTTATTCGCGATTTGCAACACCTTTGCTCTTCGATTATCACTCCTTGTTAGCATGGCTTTATTAAGCGTCACTCCACCACCACAAACTTATTGGAGTTGACATCCTTTGTCATTGATGGCTTTTGTAAGGGATATCAAACCGATGTAATTTACACAGACTTCAGCAAAGCATTTGATTCAGTTAATCACTCACTCTTGTTGAGTAAACTGAATATGCTGGGTTTTCCTAAAGACCTCTTAATGTGGATCTCCAGCTACCTAGATGGAAGGACACAAAGAGTCTTATTTAAAAACATACAGTCCCGTCTGGTCCGTGCCACATCCGGCGTCCCTCAAGGAAGTCATCTTGGCCCGTTATTATTTACGCTTTTTATAAACGACTTGCCCCCTGCTTTAACGAACTCTCTAGTTCTTATGTATGCAGATGATGTAAAGCTTTGTCTTCAGTACAAATCCATCTCTGCCCAATGCAGTCTTTAGTCTGAACTTGATAACTTTCAAAAATGGTGTTTAGCTAATGATCTAATACTTAATGGATCCAAATGCAAGCATATGTTTTTTTATCGTTCTAGCCCTATGCAAGCTACTTATTCTATTAATGGAATTGCCTTAGAAAAATTAACCCAGGTTAATGATCTCGGCATCCTTTTAGATATCAAACTTAAATTTGCCGACCATATTTCCTTAATGGTTAATAAGGCTAAAGGAGTCCTTGGTTTTATGAAAAGGTTGTCAAAAGAATTTAATGACCCCTATATAATAAAAACATTATTCATTTCTTTGGTCCGTCCTATACTAGAGTACGGTTCATGTGTCTGGAGTCCCCAATATGGAGTACATAAGGACCGCATAGAATCCGTACAAAAGAACTTTTTAATATTTGCACTTAGAGGTCTATACTGGGATGCAAATCTTCAGCTCCCATCCTACAGTAGCAGACTTTTACTTAAAAACTTACCTAGCTTAACAAATCATAGGACAATGCTCGGTGTAGTTTTTCTGCATAACCTTATTAACGGGGATGTAGATAGCCAGCATTTACTAACACGTTTAAAATTTAACATTCCTAATGGAAGGACTCGAAACTTTAGTCCTCTGTTCCTTAGCCATTGTAGTTCGACATATGCACTGCATGACCCTTTTAGTGTATTATGTTCGAACGACAATAATCTCTACTCTACTACCTCTCTTTCCTGTCCCTCTAATTTAAAATATAGTATTTTAAATTTCCTTACTAAATCCTCTTAGCTTAACAAATTTCAAATAGCATAATATGTACTAACAAATCGTTTCTCGAGCGCCCCTCGGTCGCGTGCGCCTCTTTTCTCGCACGAGCTGTTCGATTTGCTGATTAGATTTGAAGTATTTGTTTCGGTCTACTTCTTTCCCATGAGTAGAGATTTTAGCTGCCACAACGAGTACTTCTTCCAGGGCGCTCGTGGTGTCCCTGCCAAAAGACTGTTTTGGCACTTATTAGATTGCGAGGTATGTTATTTGTCACTGCAAAATCAATAATGTCTGGGAGCTTTCGTGAGTCTGTCTGCCAGTATGTGGGACTTCCAGGATAAAGGTAGTCCAGTTTATTTCTCACATTTATAATTGCATTGTACAATTGCCTTTCTTTGGGAGTCACCTGACGTGATACCCAACGCGTATGTTTGGCGTTGTAGTCTCCTGCGGCTATTAAACGATCCCCAAGTGAATTGTAGAAGTCCATAAATTGTCTTTCCGAGATTGAGAAACGAGGAGGGCAGTAAACGGCAGCGAATGAAAGGATTCCGTAGCTTGACTGAATTTGTATCGATATGGCCTGCGAGAAGTTTGTTGCAAACCTTTTGTGAAAATGGTGTTTAATTCGTTCTCTGATTAGAACTCCAGTTCCGCCGTGGGCTTTCCCATTTCCCGCCGTGTAGCCTTTTATTTGAAAGTTGTATTTGCTTGTAAGATGTGTTTCCACCAGTAGCATAACGTCAATATCGTTTTCGGTCAAGAATTATGACAATTCTAGTTTATGCCTTGAGGCACCGTTGGCGTTCCAAATTGATATTCGTAGAGCCTGCATAGATTATTTAGACTGTTGTGCTACAAGCAGCTGTATCACCATATTCTGGTTTTGAACAAGCGTTTGCATGGTCGTTTTCATGAATGACATAAGCTCCATCATACTTTGTTGGAGGGTAAGCATCATAGTTTCCGTTTTGCTGTGTGGCTGTTGTGGGGCCTGTTTGGCGCTTTGGGAGTTAGGCTGAATTAGAATTTCCCTTCCAGATCGTAGAGCATCGGCATAGGAGAAGCCGTTGGTGGTGTTTAGAATGGACCGAATGAGGATTTCGCAGCTTTGGCGAAGAAGTAGTCTGGCGTAGTTTTTGACGCAATGTACGCATTCTGTGGATTTTGGTTGCGCGTGGCGGTCGCTTGACGCATGCGACTCTTTAACTCCTTTTACACCAAACATCCTCTATAGTTTTCCGTATGGTTGCCTCCGCAGTTTCCACATTTCTTCACGATACTGTCCTTGTTTGTAGTGCAGTAAGCGGAGTTGTGGGCGTCCCCGCAGACTACACAGACAGCCCGAAGTGTGCAGTAAGACCTGGTGTTTCCATACTCTTGACAATTAGTGCATTGCACTGGGCCGTTGCGTTTATGTGGCTCTTCAACAGTGAGTTTCCGATGCAAAAGATATTGCAGGTTGTAGATTGGGTGGACTTCGTTCTTCTTCAGCGACCTGCTTTCTGGCTCGAGATTGACCTTGAAGAGGGGTTGTGACTTTTTATCTTTATTTAGAATGTTAATAACATTCTTGGCGGCGAAGCTCTTTTCTTTAAAGGCGGTTTTTATTTCCGCGGCGGTAACATCGGGTTTGATTCCCTTTACTACCACTTGTAGGCCCTTACTGCTTTTCGGCTTGTACATGTAATAGTTTTTCTGTACAGTGTCCAGATATTTGGACACGATTCGGAAGTGCTCTTCAGACTTGGTTTGCACCTTTGTTACATGGATATACCCTTTGATAAGCGGAACAACATGAAAGTTGTCACCGTTCCTGATCAACGACACAATTTTCTTGGCCAGTATGAAAAACTGTATCATTTTAAAATGCTTAAAATAGCATTCGTACAAAATTCGAATTCTCTAACTTAAAAAACAGCTATAGGATACAGTCGGCCGATCCGAATAATATATTGCGTGCAAAGGAAAGAAGGGTGCGTTGAAAGTTTCAAGTCAATAGCTTTAAAATTGAGAGAATAGTTCGCGTAGGAACAGGCAGACAGACAGGCATGCTCATATCAATTCCGGAGGTGATTCTGATGAAGAATATATGTATATACCTTATATGGTCGAAGATGTCTCGTTCACTGCGTTGCACACTTGTGACCAAAACTATATTATCCTCTGCAACTTGAAACTTTGTACAGATTTTATTTTTGGTCAGTTGATTCATTCATTTCATTACAAATTTTATTACGATCGGCCGACTAAATCTTATAACTTGCATATAGTGGTATAGTGTTTAGTTAAAATAGCAACTTTTGAGTATTTTTGAAGATAGAAGCGCATGGGGCTTTTTTCGTAAGATTTTGTATTGTAACAAATTGGTTACATTATCATATTCCAATAATGATTGGAAAAATATATCCGATTTTTGCTATATATATCCGTTTATAACTGCAAGGGTATATCAACTTCGGCTCCGCCCAAAGTTAGCATTCCGCTCATTGCTCACGCCTTCTTCTATTGTTTTAGAATATCCAGCCTCCATAGATAACAAACTTAAAAAAGGTGACACCATTACACCTTTCTGGTAATTAAAAAATGTATAACAAGTCCTATATAATTAAACGCAAACACAATAATAATATTAGAAAATTAATTAAAATTTAAAATATCAATTACATACCAACTATTGTTTTTTTTCTTTTAAATTTAAGACAATTCTTAATGCGATTTTATATTCTATATATTTTGTCTGATTATTTTCTATATAAATATCTGAAAAAACATACTTTCATTCGTTTTGAATTTTTTGGTTGTGGTTGACCTTTCTGGAGAATTACCCATATAAACTTATACTTAGGTTCTCGCAATTCGTGCATTGACACAGCAAAGCGTGGCAGGGCATGGTTAGTTAGACATAAATGTTAGACTATTGTAAATACGAGTTAACGAGTTACTTACGAGTTAAGCTCAAGGTCTAGACGAAATTTATGATTAAATGCCTTGATTAGTAGGGAAGTTCGGTGAAAGTGTTTCTGGAATAAAAGTAAATAATTAAATATTTAATAAATTTATCAATGTATATGGACTTATTAAATTTAAATAATACAAGAAAGGACGGCTATAGTCGAGATTCTTGACTATATTATACCCGGTGCTCATCTCTTCTAACCACAGTTTAACTAAACTTGAAAGTTTAAACATTAACAGTATGGAAAAATTTTGTTTCCATACTTTTGCGCTCGGACAAGAAAACAAAAACAAAAAAAAAACAAGAAAGCAAAGCTAACTTCGGGCGGAGCCGAAGTTGATATGCCCTTGCAGTTAAAACCGGATAATATCGCAAACATCGGATATAGTTGGCCGATCCTTATGATTACATCATAATAAAACCAATTAATTATAATAAAAAATCTAAAAAAAAGTCCCAAGCTTCTATCTTCAAAAATACGAAAGTTGATATTTCTACCAAATACCATTTCCGATCGTTCAGTTATATGGCAGCTATAAGATATAGTCGGCCGATCCTTATGAAATTTGGCATGTCGTATTATTTTGCCAAAAGTAGCACTCATGTAAAATTTGCGGCCGATCCGAGCCGTTCCGACTTATATACTGCGTGCAGAGGAAAGAAGGTTTTAAAGTTTCAAGACGATAGCTTTAAAACTGAGAGACTAGTTCGCGTAGAAACGGACAGACAGACGGACATGCTCATATCAACTCAGGAGGTGATCCTGATCAAGAATATATATACTTTATAGGGTCGGAGATGTCTCCTTCACTGCGTTGCACACTTTTGGACAAAATTATAATACCCTCTGCAAGGGTATAACAAGAAAGGAAAGCTTACTTCGGGCGGAGCCGAAGTTGATGCCGAATTACTCTGCGGGAAGTTAAAACCGGATATATACATATACATTACGTTATTTTCGCAAATGGGGCTCGATATGGCTCATACATGGGCTATATATTCGGCGGATTCGCTACGAAGTTTGGTTTAAGGTTCCTTATCACAATGGGCATCAAGATCTGCAAAAATGGCAGCGCTAAAATGATTCTGCACAATATTGGTTTTACAAATTAAAGATAAGATTCCATGGATTGAAACCTGAATTATAGTTCGTCTGTGAGTTTTGCGTCCATGGTAGGTTGTGTAAGGTCACTTTCCAATCCTTTGGTGTATCCGTCATAGTACGTACTTAGTTTATTATAGACTGATTAGCGTTCTCTATCTAGCCGTTTGCTCTAGGGTAAATAAGGATCAGTGTTGCCATTTTAGCTATTTTATTGCTAGATCTAGCTAATTTAAAACTGCGAAAGTTATAAGATTTTGTGAAATGCTATTAGCTAGAAAGCTAGCATTCTTTTTAATGATTTGGTTAGTTTTGGCACTTTTAAAATAGTACCGATAGATATAGGTAAATAGGAACCGATACCGGAGCAGTCAATACATTCGCACCGTTAACACACTTTGCACTCAAAATTATGAGTCTTCCTTGGTCGAACGCAGAGGTAGAACGCGTAATTATCCAAGTGCAGATAGTCAAAATAAAATGAGAAATAGAATGCATTAAAAACCTTTAAATGCTATTTTAGCCATAAAGTAGGCTACATTAATAACTAAAATTCTTATAAAATGAATGTTCATTTACATATATGGACCCAAAAGAATTGGGATGTGTTGTTTTAGCAACAAAATATTTAAAAACTGTATCAGAATCTAATAAATATAAGTATTTGGTCGAGGACACCATTGATGATATTGACAACAATTCTGCATTATTTTAATAAAAACAATTTAAAAATAACACAAAAATTGCTATAACTTAGCAATTTTGTTTAGCATTGTTTGTTTTAGCTGATTCTAGCATATTTTTTCATTTTAGCTATTTGAGTCCATGAAATTCTGGCAACACTGATAAGGATAGGCATAGCCTATCGTAGCCGCAGGCGTGTTATGGAAAATGAGAGTTTGCCCACCACTGCTCAAAACCTCCATTTTAATTTGTTTACTCCTATCATTCAGGCATCGTTCGATTGCAATTTTTTTTTTTTTTTCGCGGTCTTTCAGAACTTGGAAATGGCTTGTGCATCAATAAGAGCATCAGCTAGCATTCCTGTATTCATCATAAAGCTTAGAGGCCCAGACGACCGAGGGGCGCTCGAGAAACGATTTGTTAGTACATATTATGCTATTTGAAATTTTTTAAGCTAAGAGGAGTTAGTAAGATAGTTTAAAATTCTATATTGTTAATTAGAGGGACTGGAAAGAGATGTAATAGAGTAGAGACAATTGTAGTTCGAACATAATACCCTAAAAGGATCATGCAGTGCATATGTCGAACTACAATGGCTAAGGAACAGAGGACTAAGGTTTCGAGTCCTTCTATTAGGAATGTTAAATTTTAAACGTGTTATTAAATGCTGGCTATCTACGTCCCCGTTAATAAGGTTATGCAGAAAAACTACACCGAGCATTGTCCTACGATTTGTTAAGCTAGGTAAGTTTATAAGTAAAAGTCTGCTACTGTAGGATGGAAGCTGAAGATTTGCATCCCAGTATAGACCTCTAAGTGCAAATATTAAAAAGTTCTTTTGCACGGATTCTATGCGGTCCTTATGTACTCCATATTGGGGACTCCAGACACATGAACCGTACTCCAGTATAGGACGGACCAAAGAAATGAATAGTTTTTTGGTTATATAGGGGTCATTAAATTCTTTTGACCACCTTTTAATAAAACCAAGGACTCCTTTAGCCTTATTAACCATTAAGGAAATATGGTCGGCAAATTTAAGTTTGATGTCTAATAGGATGCCGAGATCATTAACCTGGGTTAATTTTTCTAAGGCAATCCCATTAATAGAATAAGTAGCTTGCATAGGGCAAGAACGATAAAAAGACATATGTTTGCATTTAGATCCATTAAGTATTAGATCATTAGCTAAACACCATTTTTGAAAGTTATCAAGGTCAGACTGAAGACTGCATTGGGCAGAGATGGATTTGTACTGAAGACAAAGCTTTACATCATCTGTGTTTGGTCATTGAGCGTTTTCAATGCCGTAAATAAAAAATCAGAATTTAATTAGGTTCAACGTTATAACTTTTTTCATATATATGAAATAGCATATGAAATTAGGATTTATGAGGATTTATGAGGACTGCGCAAGCGCAGTAAGGAGATGAACGGGAGTGGCGCCAACCTTGCAGAGTAGGCTGAGCGGATGCTCGCTAACTATAACGCCGAATTAGCAAAGCCGAGCGGCCGAAAGAGAGTCGGCTTGCGATTAGCAAAACATCAGTTACTAATTAATTGTTGTGTTTAAATTAGTTGCTTGCTGCTTGACCCGACATTCTCCCCCCAGTTTGGGCTTCTACTCCAACTTCATCCTTAAGGGGCAAAAGGCACAGCTTAGTCACTGCTCGCTTGGTAATTCCAGATGAGGCTTTTATCACCGCCACTCGAAAGATACCATCCCGACCAGGGATTAACTCCATTATTCTCGCAAGCGGCCATTTCATCGGAGGTAGATTCTCGTCCTTTACTAGCACCACATCGTTCGTGGCCAAGGCAGGACCGGAGGCTTAGGTACTCCTCCTTCCATCGGGACCAGAAAGACTGCTGCAGGAAAGACACGCGCTGCCAGCTGTCCAACCGGTTGAAGTTAAACTTTGTGACATCAGGCTCGATAAAGCTGACTGACGGACCACCAGTTAAAAAATGAGCTTGGGTCAGAACATCAAGGTCTGCAGGATTTTCTGAAAGAGACAATAAGGGTCGTGAATTTATAACAGCCCCAATATGGCATAGCAGCGTTCGCAGCTCCTCGAATCCAAGAACTGCAGATCCGACAGCTCGGTAAAAATGGTGCTTTGCGGTTTTAACAGCCGCTTCCCACAGACCACCGAAATGCGGAGATCGAGGAGGAATAAAATGCCATTCGATGGATTCCATAGAGCAAAACTCCAGCAGTGCCCGCTGATGCTTTTCGCTTAGAAATAATCGGCGCAGCTCCTTTAGCTCGTTTTTGGCTCCAACAAAGTTGGTTGCGTTGTCAGACCAAATATGTTGAGGCTTTCGGCCAAAGCCTGCAAAAAAGACATTGTGGACAGATCCTTTACAAGCTCCAGGCTTTGGTAGCAAAACAAATGAAAATGCTAATGTAACATTTTACTGGAGCCTTATTACGCACTTCCGGCTTATAATAGAACGGTCCACAAAAATCCACACCAGTGACTCCGAAGACCTGGGAGCCACTAACTCTTTGCTCCGGGGGATCAGCCATAATGTGCTCCAACAGCCGAGGCTTAGTCCGGAAGCATTGGATGCATTTGTGTATTGCCTTCGTCACGGTTTTTCTCCCCCCAATTGGCCAATATTGGGACCTAATAATTGCCAACAGTGCGCGAGGTCCCGTATGTAAATTTCGCTCATGGAAGTCAACAATTATAGCCAGCGTAACTGGATGGCTTCTTGGATGGATAATTTGATGCTGACTATCAAAATCCAACGACGAATTTTTTAGCCGCCCGGCTACGCGCAACGGACCAAATTTATCCAAGAAGGGAGAGGATGAGGCAAGGGCACTGGATGCCGCTATCTCTTTTTCATTTTGAAGCACCTGCACTAGTTGCAATAACAGCTATGTTCCAGATTTTATATCGCTAGCCGTGACACCGTTGTGGTGAATTCGTTTAGAAAACTTGTATACGTAAGCGAATACCCTCTGCAGCGCTGGAAACGAATTAGTGTACTTAGAAACCGCTGTTATATCCACGTACGGAGACTGAATGAGCAGAACCCTTGCACGTTACTCCAGGGATGATCTCTCAGATGGGACCGCGGTTGGCCACGGCTCTTGGGATCCAATGAGAAACGGAGGACCGTGAGACCACAGCTTATTCTCAACCAATTCATTGGGAAGAGTACCAAGAGACAGGATATCTGCTGGGTTCAAAGAAGTGGGAACATACCGCCACTCCATTTCTCTAGTTAGCTTCTGAATGGTCGAAACTCGATTGGCGACGAAA